TATATTTTATATATTTTATATAACTGCAGCTTGTTTGCAGATTTTACCAAAAGCAAAGCGCAGGTTAACTCACGTCAGTACAGCCAGCACATACAACGGCCAAGGCTAAGCCCTGCATCCCCCAAAACTGGCTGTACTGGGTCAGAACAGAGATCCCTCTCATGCTGCACCCTGTCTCCCAAAGTGGCCATTCCTGGATGCTCGGGAAAAAGCACAACTAGAGCAAACACGCACTGTAATGCCTTCCCTTTTGCAAGCCTTCAACCACCTCCTCTTCGGATACTTTCTGAGCTGGGTATGGTTTCGAGATCTGGAGTAACCCTAAGGAGACTGACTTCATCCATAGACTCATGCAGCCATTTTAAACGGGTATGAAAATTGCTCTGAAAAGTTTCACATGGCTTCTTTTTATTAGGGAAGACAGCTGTTGTAACACACTATATCGGACCCAAACCAGAGGATAAAGAGAAAATTCTTTTGACTTTAATCCTATCCTTTTAAAGAAATCCTCAATTATTTTGTCAATTAAAAAAAAAAAAAAAAAAAAGGAAGCTTATTTGACAACTACCACTTTGAATTACTGTATTTTTGGGGACTGTTTTTCTATCAACAGGAACATGGGCTCAAATGTTTACCTAGCCCTTGTGAAAGGCCCGCACACTCAGGCACTGCCTTCCCACCACATTCTGATGCGGACACAAACACCCTTCTTGACCTCTGAATCGTTCTCTGCGAGTATCCGACAGATTTTCACCCGTGAAGGTAGGATGTGCCACGGAACGATGGTCTGCTGTGACGCCATGCACTGGCTACGGAACTACACAGTACCTACCGCTCCATGGCCTAATGCTCATAAAGGAATCCAAGCCATCGTTATTTAAAATTTGTAGCAATTAAAAGAGAGTAACTGCCTTAAATTTTGTAGCAATTAAAAGAGAGTAACTGCCTTAAATTACTGCTTGGTATTTTTAATATACTTACCCAGGAAAGGAATGTGAGTAGTTCCAAAAAAATAGGTCCTTGAACAAGCCAGAGGTCCCTTTGGAGACACACACTGCACTACCTAGTTGTCAGTATTAATGAGACACAAAAAGACCTTAGTAAAAAAACAATTGGTGCAATAATTAACAATAAGCTAAGTTCCCCTTAAGTCTTCTAACCACTGACATACTACAGAAGTGTACGACACAGACTTAACTGGATTTTAAAAAAGCAACTTACGTTTTCAAAGGTATATTTCACTTTTGACTTGACCTGAATGGTTGAAAGCCCTTGGAAAGGAGATGAGCTCTGACTTCCATAAGCGTTAAGCATGTGTTTTCAATTTCCTATGTCAACTGCTCTTTTCATGAAGAGGAAAGTGTGTCAGGTTCCCATAACTATGCTTGCACTTGGTCTCATTTACTATTTTCATGACACCCTATTAAAACAGTATCACCTGTACCTGTAAATAAACCACCTTTTAAGAACAACATCAGAATCCGAGGACAACAGATGGAGCAAGTACATCAGAATAAAATGGTACTTGCATTTCGAAAGGTATCAAATGGTCTTAATGAGAATGTTAACAAGAGGAGAAGAAAGAAAATTGGAAGTGTTTTTACAGAAAAAGGGTTAGAGAGAGCAGCAAATGGAGGATGAGATTTCACCGGGACGCTAAAACAATTCTCTCTCAGGCTTGTGACACATGCAACGTGTCCAGAATACCCACGTCCATCCATCCCGGAGGCAACTTATGCACGAAATGTTGTCACATCAAGATCATAAACTCACTCCCTCAATCATACGCTCACTCCACGATGACCTGGACTCAACCACATCCACCTCCTCAGCAGCACAGACTGGACTCGCACCACTGACGGACACTCCCAAGCCCCTGGAAATCGGCTCGCAGGGAGAGCTACACCAGGCAATCTGCACGCTACCTCTCCTCCTTCGCTGCGAGGTACCTTCTGACGGCCCCAGCCCAGCCAGCCAGAGGATCTGAATTCCCTGGGGGCGCTTCCCCAGTTAGGTCCCCTGCGCGGCGGTGCAACAAGCCATCGACCTCATCATATCTTTTAAAACTAAGCTTTTACTTGAAAATGGAAACAAGTTAATCTTACAACTTGATCTGAACATTCTTTGAACACCAGAAAGACTTTCAGAGTTTCAGGAACTGTTCAGTTGCCGAAGCTGACGCGGAAATTTGGGTGCACACAGGTATCCCCTATCTATTCACAACGTCATTATCAAAAGCAGTGTCTTTCCGCTTCTTTTTAAGAAACAGCTGAACAATTCTGATTAAAACAAAATCTGTGTGTCACAGTTAAGTACATCATCAGCTACCAGCAGGAAGATTTTCACTTTGTGGGCTACATCCCCACAAACCGCATTTCCCTCTCCCCCACCCCAGACCTTTACAGCACCACAAGTGTTTAAGGAGTTGTCTATTTACAGGGGAAAAAAATATTTTAATGCATTCAGCAGTCCCTGATTAAACATCCAGTATAGTTTGGCTTGGAAAGAGAAAGAAAAAGGAAATTGTTCCTTAAACTGACCAATTGTTATGGTAACGTGTTTTTATATGTTAAGAAGAATTGGGTACTTAACTCACGGAAAGTAAGCATTTTAAGGGCATAAAAAAATATACAAAGAAAAGGAAAATATACACTGCTTCGAAGTACCAGATAACTACATAAAAGCCTTACCATATGCTTAGCAGTGCTTCCACCAAGGCCAGTGTTTCGAACAAGATGTCCTTCTGACGGAAAATTAAAGTTACCAGAGTTCAAATTTTCCTTAGTTGAGTGGCTACCAAACAGAACAAAGGGCTGCCGGCTAGGGCTAAGGAGAAGAGAGGGTATCACCACCAAAATACTTGAAGAAAATGTACAAATAATAAATGAAACCAAAGCTTTCAAGTCTGATGGAGCAGCTACTGAATTTCCCACTAAAAGAGTAGGAAAAAAAAATAATTACTACAGCTGCAGAAAGCCTCCCATTGAAAAGACCAAGCTCCAAAGAAAAAAAAAACCCTACTTGAATTAAACAAGACTATAATTTCTTTCATATACCAGAACATCTCTCAAGGCTCTTTCCCAAATGCTATTAGAAGGGGGTTTTTTCCTCTTTTTTAAAATAAATTGCCTTGAAAAGCTGACTAGGTTAAAATTTACCAGCTTGAAAAACCCTGAAATGACTATATTGGAATGAAACAAAGCTATTTTGGTTTTAGTTCTGGCTTTGAGCCCAAGACTCAGCTGGAGAGGTCAAGGTTTTTCTTTTCATTATTTAAATGCAAACAACATAGGATGCTGAAAACAATAAAGGACATTGAACTCCACTGTTTAAATCCAAATAAAGAAGAATCTGCAGAGACATTCAAGTCGCTAAGCAACCTTTATTTAGCTCAAAACAGCAGAATGTTTGGTTTTGCAACACATGACAACCAACCTTCCTCCCTCAGTCGAAATGCTATGCTGAAATAAAACGAAGCTGACCTGTACTTCCCAGCCGACGCTGGCTAAGATTTGGGTTTAACTGCCCTGTTTTAAGCATTGGTTTTGTGCCCATTGTGACTCGCAGAAGTGTACTGACTTCTGCAACCTTCATATTTTAATTGGGTTTCAGTATCACATAAATAGGACCGATATTGTCAAACGTAGCTGTCCTGTGTAATAAGTTCCTGAGTTTGTTTAGGTATCTGACCATCAAGAAACTGATCATGTTAGAATCCACAAGGTGGACGGTTTCAAGCATATTGGCGTTGTATATATAATAACTACAGCATTAAATCCCATGAAAATTCGGCTTATCCTTCCCAGAAGTGCCTTTGCACATTTTTTTTTAGATAGCCAAAGAAGAGACACGATATACTGAGATGGTCCCAAAAGGAATTACAAGCATTATGGCATCAGAGATCGAAATAACGTATCGAAGTACTAGTGACACCGCAATTTCACAGGGAATAATGAGTAATACCTGTTATCTGTTATATGGCTTGAGATCATTCCGTGACTGAAATAACTTCTGAACGGCTGTGAAGGATTAAAGAAAAAAAAATTAACAAGTAAATGAACAGAAAGTGTGACATATCCTCGCTGTCATTAACAATCCTGAATTACCCTTTTCAGAGAAAACTCCTGAACCCTCAAAACCTACTTCCAGCCTCCACAAACCAACCCAAACACCATTAAGTCCCATATATACTTAAAAAGTTGTGTTCACAAAAGGTTCTGCACTGTTTTCACCCATGCTGTCCGCTACCACCAGTTATGTTTGAAATCTGACACGTGCAACCTCAGCTTGTTAGGGCGTGCACACGCCAGAGCTTCCACCAAAATGAACATCAATTGACCTACAAACAGGGATTTATTGTGCAGATGTAGATCAACTAAGGGAACAACAACTCGACTGGATTACACCAGCCATCACACCATGGACAGGCAGGTGGTGAACATAAAAAATACCAAAACCCACCAATTTCTGCTTCTCAAAATGAAAGGTGAGATGGGGTAGGGAGAAAAACCAAACCAAACCCCAACGCTGAATACTGATGCCTTCTGCGTGGCTGACACTAGCACTTCCAAGCATTACTGAAGCAGGCATACCTCCCCCGCCTGAGATTCCGATAGCTCCAGAATGAAGGGAATTTCAGTATCAAAATTCGCAAAAAAGCTGGTCCACTGGTGTTCAAAAATGATTAAATCCTAGAAGGAAAATGTTTGACGTTACTTAGTAAGGCAAATGTTATACCAGGGGAAGGAAGTCAGAGATAGCACTGAAAGAACCCAAACTGCTTTAGAACAACATAGATTACATTTCCCTACGCGGTACAGAACACACCCTGCCCAAGAGAATACGGTAAATACTAGAACATAAACAGATTTTAAAAGATAAAAGACTTTCTGCTGCGTTTTAGAGGGTCTTTTTATAGATGGGGGGTTTTTTGTTTATTTGGGGTTGGGGGTTTGGGGGAGAGAAGAGGCAGGAGAAGCAAAAGGACCAGAGCCCTGCACTATCTGTTTTTAACCTAAGGAAGTACTCTGGTTTGAGATCACTCGTAACTCCGACCTCACTATTCCCCTGAGACTTCCAAAATGAACACTTGGACAGATTTAACTTTCAATTTTTAAATCTGCATACGTTCTGCAGCAATTTGTATCTGACATTAACTAAATTTCTGGTCAGAAAATGAGGAACAGGGTGGGGAATTTGGGCAAAATGAGGAACAGGGTGGGGAATTTGGGCAAAATGAGGAACAGGGTGGGGAATTTGGGAAGCTCAGGATATGCAAGTGGCAGACAGTCACTTCTTTATCTGCATTCATAAAAAAAAATGTAAGTGGAAAAGGAAAATTAGTAACACCTCATTAAAGCAGAACAAAAAAAATGAAGATAACTACAGGTAAGTGCTGAATCCAAATTAATTAAAAAAAAAAAAATCAGAGTCAATAAAAAGAAAAGAGCACGTCATGCTGACAAAGCAGGAACCTTACAGAACCAGGCAAATTTTAAATGCTCTCAAGATTACTTTCAGTTACCTGTCACATGCTAACTTGGAAGATGAGAGACATCCTGACTTTAGAAAGTGTAGTTTTTCAGATATATACAACAGGCAAACCCAGATCTCCGATTTTAGCAGTGGTGTAAGTATTACACGGTATTTTACTTCAGCCACGTCGTTAACGCAGCAATAAATGAAATTTAGAGGGTGAATGTCGATGAAATCTTACAAGCCTTCCAAAATACTAATCAAGTCTATATTCAGAGGTTTAAAGTGAAGGTTCTCTTTTAGAGGGAGAAACTGTCGTCGCAGAATATTCCAGTCTCAAATAAGCTTTTCATGGAAGTTAAGAACTAAAAAGTGCTTTTGTCCATTTTTTGGAACATGCCAATATTGTACAGCACATTCTTTTAAATCCCAGAGTTCAAATCAGAACTTTTTGAAATCACAGCTGTGTTCACAAAAAAAGTATAAACATATATCAGCTTCAAACACTCCTTAAGATCACATAACTTCATCCTCATCGATAAAATTAGTCATTTTTAAAATCACCAATTTCTATGAAACCAGAGTTGTATGAAAAGCCCATTCATTTATTTTTTTCCCAGAAAAATCTGAAGTCAATTTAACAACAACTTTGAAGTTTAAAAGGCCAAAACAGGATAAATAGGTCTGCTCCAGGGTAGACTTATCAGGCACAAGAAAAGTCCCATTTATTTATCTCTCTTCCCCAGGAAGGGGCAAGTGAAGGATCAGAGAGCGACTATTTAGACTGGCAGCCTTGGAAACTGTATGACATTGTAATTTTCATTACAGCAGTTGATTAAACAACCAAATTGGTGTGAATGACCAGTATTTTTATTAATAAAGGATACTTACTGCTGAACTTGCTACACATTAAAAGCCTACTTTGCTGCCAAGCTAGAAACTGATAAAAAAAATTAACATTGATTTCTTCTCTAGATCAGAGAGACCAGACCACGGCATCGAAATGAGGAATCACTTCATACTGCATGTTTGTGCTTCACAAAGCATCAGGGCAGCCACTGTGTGTCACTGTTACCCGCCTAAAGCGGTTGCAAAGCAACCCTGAGAGAGTTTTCTCCTGGAGGAATGGCTGTGTGTTAAGGAGGTTTTTTTCCCCCCCCTTGTTGCAAAAGGAGGATTAACTCACACAAACATACCAACTTTCTGTACTTCGTGCACAGCCCTATGACCTGAAGAATAGTCACACCATTTAGAACAGCTTTTAGGAGAACTGCAGGCAAATTAAGAAAATCAAGGAATCCAAGACAAGGTATTCTCATGTTTTGTGGACTTCGTGGTAGATTTGAGGAAAGGAAAGAGACCCTGAGAATAACAGCGTGCAGAGCCAGTAGCTTAAGGCCGTAGGCACTACTAAAACCAAACAAAATCACAACAATTTTGCCCCGCAGCTACGCTGACAGACTAGGAGCGGATTCAGAACATTCCACCTGCATTACCTCAAAGATCAAGTCCTCCAGGGAAACAGGATCCATTTTGCTGTACGTCTTCCACAAATCAACACTGACATCCATCAACTGAAAGAGATTTTAAACGCACTTCTGTGAAAAACACCGTGAAGAACGCCACAGATTCAGGTGTAAGCCGCAGTGAAACAGGCTTGCAGCACACCGCCCAGTCTAACGGTCCTCCTTAACTCGGAATTCAGAAATATTTTTAACACTACTGGTTACAAAAGAATTGACCAGGTGCAAGCGTTCTGGATGCTTCAGAGACTCCTCTCCTCAAGGGAGGGTTTAAAATACGTGCAGTTTTGCTCGTACCTTTCAAACAAACCATTTCACAAAGTCTTTCAAACTGAGTGAATAGCCAAGAAGAGCATCATCTGGTGCAATCAAAAAAGGAAAGATCAGTTTTCTGAGGGAAGACAGACAAGAAACAGATGCCAAGGTTACTCATCCTACGCACCAGCCAATTCTGGCTGGAAGCGTAATGTAAATTTAGGCTGAGCTAGTTTAACTTAGCAATTAGCAACACCTTCTTCCAAGCAGTGAGATGACACATATGAGAAAACTACTCAAAAATATTGTATTTGAATAATTTCTGCATTTACAGGGTTCCCCACCATCCACTTAATTAAAAATGCACCACCGACTGGAATTTTCTTAAACCACTGCTTTACAGTTATTCCGGCTACTCGTATTGCTCGGCAGGGCAATAATGCTTCCCCAGACATCACTTCCATTCACCTATTGATACAGTAAGTTCTCTGGATTACAGCATCTTGAGCAACTCTGACTTTTGGAGTAAGAAAGTAACTGCCCTTAAAACACTGGAAAAAAAATTAGTAAGCTATCACCATTAGCTTCTCTTCAAACCTAACAGCATAGAACGCCCAGCAGAGGGGAAGTCAGTTTAAAATGCATCGAGAACAGCCCCTGTTAATGACAGGAGAAGTATTTACAGATCATTTGCAGCGATCCCAAATGTACTTCCTCCCGTAGACTGGTTTTTCCTCCCCATCTGTGACACGTAGCAGCTGCCTAACAGACACCCATGCACAAACAGTTACGTGAAAGGTTAAGAACGCCACTTCCCACTCGAAATCCCCTTATGACTTCAAGGGGGAAGAAAACAAGAACTCTGAAAAGCAGATACTGAAAATTTTCATTGCTCCTTTTTAAGTCTGCAGGAGTGGTGTAAAGACAGTAGCAAATCCCACAATGAAATAGGAGAGATTCTGTCTTCACCAAGTCACTACATCGTCTCAAAGCCTCTACGGATTCACAAACTGAACTGGCCAGGGTAACTGAAGATCCTGAATTCACAGTCCAATTCTCACTGACGGTTTCAGACATCAAGAAGGGCTATGGATACCTAGGCAGGCCTCCACAATCTAGTTGCACTTGGTATTTCATAGTTTTGACAGGTTCACACAACAAGATCATTACAGTACTAGCGATGGAATGACTTTTTAAAAGGCATGAAGAAAGGTATCAGTGGAAAGAGTACAGTGCCCAGAGAAAGGCACACTTCAACTCCCATAACAGACTTTTGAGCGAGCATGTACAGTACTACACATGATGAGACTTTAACAACGGTACCACTAATTCCTTAGGTTTTTTCCAGTTGTCAGAAGTCAGACAGAGAACATTCTGGCTGTAAAAACGGAGGAGTGACAAGAAAAATAGGACATCTGCACTTCTGTGGCAGAGGTCCAAGGAAATGAAACAAAAGAAGTTTCAAACAAGTACATAAACACAAAGCTGTCCTCTGGAGATGCTGTTAGAGTGCAATTAATAAATAGGCAAATGACACCAGTTGCTCAGAGTGGAACAGCAAACCATTATTAAAACTAGGAGCATCA